ACAAGGAATCCTCGATTCCCGAGGAGATATGGGAGGATGTGGGAAGTGGCGGGGAAGACAGAAACCCAGAAAATATAGGAAAATGTGGGGAATATTTTTATTTGTGTGTATTTATTTGTGTGTCCTGGGGCCCCTTCATTCAGCGGCAACGTAACAAGTGCTCACTAACGGGTGCTGTGGAGATCTGCCGAAAGTTGCCACTGTAGGGCCTCGTTCTGGCATTGCAGCGTTGCCCACATCGGGGAGGGCTGGGTTCGCCGGGTCGCTGGCCAAAGTGCCCGTTATAGTGGAGTCCCCTGTTAGGGGGGCGCTGACAACTGCACGCGGAGGGCTCGAAAAGGAAGGTGCCTCGCCTTTGAGGGACCGGGGGGTTGATAGCACCCTCTCGGCAGAGGCCGACGGAAGGCTGGCGGAAGTCGGCGGAAGCAAAGCATCGGCGGCTCCGCCAGTGGCATTTCCGCGGAAGTAAAGAATGCCTCCCAGCCCCCGCCCTAGAGTTGTCAATGTTTGGCGCTACAGGTGTTACGGAGCTGGTCACATGTGGACCCCAACCTGCCCCTGCGGGTGCAAGCATTTCGGGGGGATCCGTGTTTCCCCCCAGGGGATTCGTCTTGCCACAGGCTCGTATGTCTCACGAGCCGAACCCGCAGGGGCAAGATCCGCATGCGGCTGCCCGCAGGCCCGGGTTTCTGGGCGCGCGGTGCTGGCGGCAGTACAACCGCATGCGCTACACGCTCGCCAGCCTGAGCTCCGAGGCCGGCGGCCTCTCGGGGGGCGACGCGTGGCGTCCCTGGGCGGAGTGGAAGGCTCGTGGCCCTCCGCGGGCGGTGCTCCTGGGCGGCCTGAAGTGCCGCTCCTTCGGCGACTCCACGAGGTTCGTCGTCTTTCGCTTCCGCTTCGAGGCCTACTTCGACCGGCACCGGGGCGACGCCGTGGTGGAGTCCGTCCGGCGCTTCTACCTGTCGGACGCCGACGCGGGTCAGCGCCGGCAGCTGGACGCCATCGGCGCGTGCGTGCCGCGGGAGTGCTGCTTCCACCAGCCGCAGGGCTCCAACGCGAGCGCCATGGACGGCCTGCGCTCGGTCCTGTTTTACTTCGTCTTCCACTTCAAGATTGGCCTGGCTCCAGGAGAGGTCGTGCCAGAGCCCGTCGAGTCGGACTTCGAAGGTGTCCATGCTGCCTCCTTCCTCCTCCTTTTCCCCCCTTCTCTTCCTCTCTGTGCTGCCTACACAAAGGCATATTCACCATCAACCTGGCCGAGCCCGACAAGGCCTGGGTCAAGTGCCACAGAGATTGACCTTCGGCGCTGGCGACCTCACACGTCGGGGCCGCGTGCCAGGCGACAGCGCGGCCCCCTCTCGCAAGCGACTCCTTTCCCCGAATCCCCGAGCTCCCTCCCCAAAAACCTGGCCACTCAGAAAAGGAGAGAATCGCAGGGATACGCCTCCACGGGGCTGCTCGGGCGCACCCTTTATCGAGGATGGACGCCCCCCCCCCCCCATCGTGTTGCCCTGAGCTGGGCCTCAAGTGCTCTGTCCTGCCGGAAGTTATACAAAGGGGGGGGATTTTGGTCGCCATGCCCTCGATGACCATTATGTTATTGTTTTCCGCCCTCTTGTTTCTCCTACTGGATCCTTCCCGCCTCCCTCCCTGCTCCCTGTCCTTCTGTCTCCCTGCTCGCCCAGAGTCCGAGCGAGGAAAAACAAGATAGCACAAAGTGTCGGAGGACCGCGTGGACATCTGAACGTCGAAGTATATGTGTACAGTTGTTCCCCAAGCAGTGCTTGCGCTTGGGGGTTCGAGCTTCTGGAAGAAGCAGCTGGGCCTGAAGGTCGGCGTGGCGGCTGTGTAGCCGCCGCCGTGGCCCCGTCGCCGCCTCGTCGCCGCCCGTCGTCTGGGCCAGCGCGTCGGTCTGGCGGCTATGTTGTCGCCGTCGCCGCCGCGTCGCGGCCTCGCATAGTTGCGCCACGTAGGTCTTCCCCCCCAGAAGAAGTTACAATCAATCCACACATTAAGGTCTAGCAGCGTTCCGAGGCCGCCCTTGCATCCTTGCCCTTCGGCCCATCCCTGGCTGCTTTCGCTGGCCGAGCCCCTCTCGCGTAGTGTCGACGTGGCCTTCTAAGGCCCTTGCGTCCTGATCGTGCGTCCTTGCTATAACGGTTTGCTGTCGGATCTCCCTCGTCCAGGTGTGCCGCTCCTCCATTCACATACAGCCGTGTACACATGATTTGCCCCATTGTGTTTTCCATATTGTAAGTATGAGCTCGTACCATCCTACGCATGCCCGTATCGCGCCCCCCCCCCGCCATCCCTGAGAAATGATACGACGCGCGCGCACCAGTTTATCACAAGTCGTCAGTGTGCAAGAATATGCTGCGAACGGACGGGACAAAGTCCACACGCGCGCGTCGTTGCGTGCGCATGCCGAAATTATATAAAGATATCAGGTTGCATAAAGGTTTCAAGCTCGATGTCCCGAAAAAGTGAACAGAAAACGCACGGTTTTGCCACATGGTTTTTCCAACCAGAATACAATTTGCGCTCGTTCTAACGAATTGTTATGGCAACCGCAGTTTTTTGCTTAAACCTCCGATTGCGACCAAATGTGCTTCTCGCGCGCGCATGTCGAAGTCTTTCGAACGCCTCTGCGCGTGCGCATCCTTGTCAACAAATACCATGCGGGTCGAAATCCTTGCCCGCGTCGGCTGCGCCCGCGTGTCGAAATCCCCCCGGAACCTTCATCACCGACGCGTGGACGCCGTCATCGTCATCGGCGTGATCAGCAGCGGCGCCGTCCATGGCCTTGGCGTCGTCATCGTCATTATCGTCACCAGCATCGCGACTATCGTCATCGTGGCTGCCGTTGTCGACGTCGTCACGGTACCGCGCCAGCTCGGGTCACCGACTCGCACTGAGTCGCCCGCGCGCCAGCGCGGCCTGCGAGACGCGCTGGGAAGCTTCCGGCGGTCAGCGCCACAGCGGCCGCGTCGGTCGCGCCAAATTGGCGGACCGTTCCGCGCTGGAGTTTGCGCACGTTAGCACTCACCGCAACCGCAATCAAACGCCAAGCACCCATCGCAATCGCCGCCGCATGGGTTTTGCAACCCAATTTGCGTGCGGGTGGGTGGGAGGATTGCGCGGCCAGTGGAGTTGACAGCTCCAAGTTCTTCAACATGGATAGCACCGCGTAGATTGCACCACGTGTGCCGGTGCACATAGAATGCACCACGCAAATTTTCCCATCCCAGCACTTAGGATATCCCCCGGGGCTTGCCTACCTCATGTGGCGCAATGCCATGTTTATGCATTATGTCCACGTGCTTGTTTTTACGTATGAACTCACACCATCCCACGCAGGCCCCCCCTCTCATCCCTCTCATCCTTGACAAATACATCACCGCGGCAGAAGTGTAGCGCGGTCTACACGCAAGATGATTGACAGCTGGCGGTGTGATTCCATTGCTTCACTTTCAAATGTTCCTAGAGTCGCTTGCAACGCGCGCGCGCGCGGCGAAGTGCACGCGCGCGCCCGTCGTCGCGCGCGCGCCGAAGCCGCGGGATTGCTCAAAAAAGGTCGCGCGCGCCCGCTCGCGAATTCGCGAGGCGGCGACATCGGCCAAACCTTCGTCGTCCACGCGCGGGCGTCGGCGCCGCCGTTGCCCGCGCCGTTGCGATCGCCATCGCCTTCGCCAGCGTCGCCCATCATCATCGCAGTTCCCAATGTCGACGTCGCCGCGGTGCCGCGCCCGCCCAAGACGCCGATTCGCACTGGAGCGCCCGCGCGTGAGCGCGGCCTGCGAGACTCGCTGGGGGCCCCCCAGCGGTCGGCGCCGCCGCGGCCGCGGCGGTCGCGCCAGACTAGCTGACCGCTGCGCGCGCGAGCACGCGCGGGCTAGCGCTGCCGCGGAGATGCGCCAGCCGACGCCGAGCGCCCATCGCAATCGTCGCCGCATTGGTTTTGCATGCCTAGTGGCGGGCGGGCGCGCGGGGCGATTGCGCGAGCAGACGAGTTGGCGCCCCGCCGCGGGCGAAACATTTATTCTTGTTTCTCGAACGGCATTGGATTTACCCCCCCCCCCCCCCCCCCCTCGCCTTAACGGCGCGCCCCTGGGGGTTGCTAGCGGCGCGCGATTCTGCCCCGTCGCCCATCCTAAATGCGCACCCGCGCCGCGCAAGGCAGCCCCCCACCGCCCCATCTCGCCCCATTGCGCGCGCGCTCGTTTGCCGCAAATCAGAAGTTCCCGAGCGCCACGTGCTAAGAGCGGCACGGGGCGCGCGGGCGAGCGCCGTCGCGCGCGCTCGCCGAAATCTTTCAAGCCAAGAATTGGCATCGCAAGGATTGCAAAACCGAGTGCCCCGAAAACGCATGCACGCGCGAATGGTTTCGCGTCGGGAACTTGCAAACAAAAAGTTTGCGCTCGCGCTCCAGTGAACTGTCAGGGAAGCCATGGGTGCTTAAACAAGCTCATCAAGTTTCTACCAAACGCGCCTCTCGCGCGCCTGCCGGAATCATGCGCCCTTGCGCGCGTGCTGCCGCGAGAATCCTTTGCACGCAACAAAAAACAAGGCGAAGTGCACCTGCGCGCGTCGTCGCGCGCGCATGCCAGAACCTTTCAAAAACCGCGAGTTGCGTGAAGATTTCAAAATCGAACTCCCTGAAAACAAATAGAGATACATGGTTTGACGACCTCAGTTTCCAAGCAAAGACCGCGCGGTTTTGCGAACTTCCAAGGGGTCCATTATTCATGTGTATATATATACACATATATAATCAACTAAGCCCGCTTCTCGCGCCGCACGCCCAAAACGTCCCATTCGAACGCCCTTGCGCGCGTGCTGGGGGGTGGGGGTGGGGTGCGATCCCTGTTAAATCGTTCCGCGCGGGCCACTCGCGCGTCGGCCGCGCGCGCGTCGAACTCCTTCCGCATCCCCCGTCACCCACGCGTGGACACAATCGTCGTCATCAGCGTGATCAGCATCGGCGCCAGCAGTGGCCTTGCCGTCGTCATCGGCATCATCGCAACTATCATCGCAACAGTCGTCTCCGCGCAGATTTGTTCTGTCAGCGCGGTTGCCGTCGTCGACGTCGCCGTGATACCGCGCCCGCAGAAGTCACCGATTCGCACTGGTGTGCCCGCTGGGAAGTGCCCGGCGCCCAGCGCCACCGCGGCCGCGTCGGTCGCGCCAGACCGGCCGGCCCCCGCGCGCGCGAGCGTGCGCGGGCTGGCGCGGCCGCAGAGAGGCAACGCCGGGCGCCCGTCGCAATCGCCGCCGCATGGGTCTTGCAGACCAAGTTGCGGGCGGGCGAGCAGCCGAGTTGGCAACTCCTGCTTTCTCCATTCGCTGCGCCGCATCTGTCTTCGTTTCGAACGGGAAATAGATCCCATCACCTCGCCGAGGCCAGACTTAACCGATGACCGTCGTCCAGAGCAGTTTGCATGTGATTCTGCCCGCGCGCTCATTTTCAACATGAGCTGATACCGCCCCAGCCAAGCCAACATCGACCCCCCCCCCGCCGCCCCTGTAAATTCACGCCTTGCGCGCACAGTCGCACATCGCGAGTCGCTAGTTTTTGGTTGAAATCCTTTTGCGAAAGATGGGCGACGTGTTCGCGCGCGCGCCGTGGCGCGCGCGCATGCCGGAATCCTTCGACGCTCCGAGGTCTCGCGCGGATGTCAAAATCGAGTGTCCCGAGACATTTCTTTTACACATAAGCGCTGTTTCGCAACGCAGTTTTTAGTCTGCGTGCGCCCTCTTGCGAACTCCTACTGCTTAGCGTTTTCATCGCACGAGACCAAGTGCGCCTCTCGCGCGCGCGTCGAAATCATTAGAACGCCCTGGCGCGCGCCGGGGGGAAGGGGCGAGATCCCGGTCGCATCGTGCCGCGCGGGCCACTCGCGCGCGTCGGCCGCGCGCGCATGTCGAAGTCTTACTCGCGCCCTTCAGTTCCGACGCGTGGGCGCCATCATCGTCGTCGGCGCAATCTGCATCGGCGCCGTGAGTGGCCTTGTCGTCGTCACCCCCGGCGCCGCTGCAAGCATCGCCGCCGTCATCGCGGCGTTTGATACCGCGCCAGCCCAAGGCACCGACTCGCCTTGAAGGGCCTCCGCGTCAGCGCGGCCTGCGAGACGCGCCGGGAAGTCTCCGGCGGTCAGCTCCACCGCGGCCGCGTCGGTCGCGCCAGGCCCGCCGGCCGCAGCGACGCGCCAGTCAGCGCCAAGCAGTCATCGCAATTGTCGCCGAGTGGGTTGCGCAGACCAAGGAGCGGGCGGGCGGGCGCGATGTTTACGCGAGCGCGGGGCGCAGTCATGCGCGGAGCAGGCAAGCTGATGCCGCAGCGCGGCGTGCACCTGATAGATTGCGCACCATAGGTCGCGCAACATATTGCACAGCGTAGACTTCGAAAGCGCGCGTTGCACTGCATCGACCGCACGACATCGATTGCACAACATACTGCGCAGCGATGATCACACCACGTGGACTGCGCCACATAAATTGCACAGCAGCGGATATTCTCATTTCGAAGAGGATAGCTATTCTGACTCAGAAGAAATTTGGACATGCCGCCCCCCCTTCTGGTCATATCGCTTCCTCTTGGGATTGTAGAGTTTAAAGTTGGTTCAGCCCCATCGTTCGTTCTAGTCTGTATGAGTTCACATCGCGCCAGCCAGGCGGGCATCGACCCCCCCTCATCCTCGTCAGATAAATTAATGCGCTCGCGCTCGTTTATCGAAAACTATCGGTTGCCAAGATTTCTTCGCAAAATATTGGGCAGTCTCGACGCGCGCGCGGCGTCGCGCGCGCATGCCAGAGCCCTGCAAAACAAACATGAGCCTTCGCAATGGTCCAACAGCCAGGATTCCGAGAACGTGGCGAACACTTGTGTTTTGCAACCTGTTTGTTTCACCCATCTATTCGGTGGCGCTCGTGCGAAATCTGGCGAAGACCAAACCATGGGTTCTCGACATTTTCATCAGACGCGACCTATCGGGCTTCCTGCGCGGGCATGTCGAAACTATTCGAACGCCCCAGCGGGGGGGGCACGATCCTCGCTAATGATACCACGCGGGCTGGTCGCGTCCGTCGGCCGCGCGCGAATCTCAAAATCTTCCCGGAACCTTGATCGCCGACGCGTGGACATCATCGTCGTCGGTGTGATCAGCACCAGCGCCGTCATCAGCGCTGCCGTCGCCACTGTCGGCGTTGCCGCCAGCGTCGCTACGATCCTCATCGCGTCTGCCGTTGTCGACGTCGCCATGATGCCGCGCCAACCCGAGTCACCGACTCGCATTGGGGTGCCCGCGCGTCAGCGCGGCCTGCGAGACGCGCCGGGAAGTCCACAGCGGCGAGCGCCACCGCGGCCGCGCTAACGCGCGCAGGCTCGCGCGCAGTGGCCAGCTAGTCTGGCGAGACCGACGCGGCCGCGGTGGCGTTGACCGCTGGGGATTTCCCAGAGCGTCTCGCAGGCTGCGCTGACGCCCGGGCACTTCAGTGTGAGTCGGTGACTCGGGTTGGTGCGGTATCGTGGCGACGTCGACAACGGCCGACACGGTGATGATTGCAGCGGCGCTTGTGACGACGATGACAATGACGACGGCAAGGCCACTGACGACGCCGAGGTTGACCACGCCGATGACGATGATGGCGCCCACGCGTCGGCGATGAAGGCTGCGAGAAAGAATTTCGACGCGCGCGCGCGGCCGGCGGGCGCGAGTGGCCGCATGCAACTATTTCACAGAGGTCGTGCCCCCCCGCAGCACGCAAGCACCCGCTTTCGAATGATTTCCACATGCGCGCGCGGGACGCACGTTCGGTCGACCTTGACGAAAGAGTAAGAAAACCACGGTCCTTAAGAATTCGAAGAACGCGCGCGCAGACTTTTTTGCGAAACGCCACGTTGCAACACGTTGTGTGTGTGTTTACGTGTATTGGGGGCACTGGATGTTAACATCCGCGCGTGGCTCTACAGGTTTGGGTGGGTGGGTAGGATGATTGCGCGAGCAGTTGAGTTCACAAGTGCTTGCGACGCGAAACTACTTAATTCTCTTTTCTACGAAAAGAATAGACTCTACATCCCCGGCGTTATCGGCTTCCCTTTCGGGTATGTAGATCATATGTGATTCTGACCACATGTCCATCCTAAATATGCATTTGTACTATCCCAGGGGTGCGGTATCGACCCCCCTGAGATTCCCTTGTAAAAAACGATATGCGGGGACATCTTTTGTTCTAACATAACAGTGTTTCACGAATCCCTTGCAAAACATGGGACGAAGTGCGCACGCGCGCGCCGTCGCGCGCGCATGCCGAAATCCTTCAAAAACCTTCGGTGTCGGAAGGATTTCGCAACCGAGTTTCCAAAAAACATACAACAACACAAGGTTTCGCAACACTGATTTGCTAAAAAAACTTATGCGCGAGTTCTTGCGAAATCTTAAGAGAACCATTGACTTTTCAAGATTTCCACAACATGCTACCAAACGCGCTTCGCGCGCGCATGTCGAAATCTGTCGAACGCCCTTGCGCGTGTGCCGTCGCGAGAATAAAATAAACAAATCGCTTTTCACAAATCCACAGTACAACGAACGGTCCTAAAACAAACTCATGAAAAGAGAAATAAACAACAAAATAAAAATAAAAGAAAAAAAGAAAAAGAGAGAAAAAATAAAAAAAAAAACGAAATGCAGACGCGCGCGTCGTCGCGGGCGTATGCCGAAAACCTTCAAAACCCATCGGTTTCGGAAGGATTTCAAAATCGTGTCTCCAAAAAACCTACAAAAACACAAGGTTTCGCAACACTGATTTTCAACAAAAGCGTGCGCGCGCGCTCTTGCGTCGTCGTCGTCGTCGTCGTCGTCGTCGCCGTCCTCCCTCCTCCCGCGTCGTCGTCGTCGTCGTCGCCTACGTCGTCCTCTGTCTTTCCTCGTGTTCATCGTCGTCGTCCTCTTTGGCGTCGTGGTCGTTTCCGTCGTCGTTGTCGCCGTGGTCGTCCTTCCTCCTCCTCCCTCGTCGTCGTCGTCGTCGTCGTCCGTCGTCGGCGTCTCGTCGTCGTCCCTCCTATTTCGTCGCCGTCGTCGTCGTCGTCGTTGTCGTCGTCGTCGTCGTCTTCCCTCCTCCCTCGTCGTTGCCGTCGTCGGCGTCGCCGTCCTGCCTCCTTCTTTGTCGTTCGCGTCGTCGCCGTCCTCCCTCCTCCCTCGTCGTTTCGTCGTTGTCGTCTTGTCGCCGTCGTCGTCCTCCCTCTCCTCGTCGTCGTCTTCGTTGGCGACGTCGTCGTCGTCTTCGTCGTCGGCGTCGGCGTCGTCGTCGTCTTCGTAGTCGTCTTCGTTGTCGGCGTCGTCGTCGTCGCCGCCGTCGTCGTCGTCGTCGTCGTCGTCGTCGGCGTCGTTGACGTCGTTGTCGTCGTCGTCGTCGTCGGTGGCGTCGTTGTCGTCGTCGTCGGCGTCGTCATCGTCGTCGTCGCTGTCATCGTCGTCGTCGGCGTCGTCGTCGTCGTCGGTGTCGTCGTCGTCGTTGTCGGCGTCGTCGAAGTCGTTGGAGACGTCGTCGGTGTCGTCGTAGTCGTTGTCGGCGGCGTCGTCGTCGTCGTTGTCGCTGTCGTCGTCGGCGTCGCTGTCGTTGCCAAGTGCCATTTGGTACCCACCGTCACGGTCTTAAGAGATTCTGCAAACCAAGTTGCGGGTGGGTGGGTGGGATGTTTGCGCGAGCAGTGGAGTGGACAACTCATTGCGAACAGAAATTAATTGCACCACATAGGTTGCGCCACGTACATGGTTCCACTTCCACTGCGCAGCATACATTGCTAGAAACAAATTGTTTGTGGTCCGAGCTGGGTTGCACTTTCCCCACTGCAATCGTCTATCATCCGTCTTCCGTCCTCGCGGGGAACTCAACCCTCTGGTGAAATTCTTCACACAGCTAGGAAAGGGAGCCCCGTCGTGCAAGCTTCGCATGGGTTGTGCGTGTCAGCCAGCTACAAGATCCTTGACGGCATACGCCGTGTGTTGCGCCGTCGGTTGCGCTAAAAGCCCCGCGGGCAACCATTTCGTCCGTTTCTTCATGCGTCAGTGTTGTATCAGGTCTGCCAGCGGTTGCGCCATGGGCGGGCCTGCCATAGGTTGCGCCGTAGGTTGCGCCAGACACCACGCGGGTAATCGAATCAACAGTTCCTACATCCGGTGTTTCAGCGGGTGTGCCACAGGTTGCACCATAGGTGGGATTGCTGAAGGTTGCGCCATAGGTTTCACCAGACACCCCGCGGGCAACCAGGTCGTTTTGTTCCAAATTCGGTGCCCCTGTGGGTTTGCAATCAGTTGCGCCATAGCTGGGTCCGCCAAGTGTTGCGCCATAGGTTGCGCAAAACACTCCGCGGGCAACCGAATCGGCTGATTCCACATTCGGTGTTGCAGCGGATCTGCCATACGTTGTGCCATGGGTGTGTCTTCCATAGGTTGTGCCGCACACCCCGCGTGCAGCCACGTCGCCCGGTTCCACACTCGGTGTAGTTTTCAAGATTCAAGTATACAGAATCTTCACAACACGCGCTGCCTGGGCGAGACAAATCGTAAGGGAAACGACGACGGCCTCGAGATGTTGCTGTGCGTGTTCGAGGGATCGGTGCTGAGAAATGTACGACCTGGCCGCCTGCCCGTCCCGTTCCACCACGGGGTCTGGCCGCCGCTGACTTCCTGGCGGTCGCGCCCCAGCGCAGCGGCCGCGGAACGCCACGACCTCGGAGGCCTACAGGTTGGCACCAGCACCAGTGTCGGCGGTGTGCATCCACAGAAGGAGGTTTGTCCCGACCTTGGTGATGGTGGCATTGCCGGGGCTTCCCAACTGGCCGCAAGACTTACCACCACTACCAACATCTCTTGGCATCGCTCGGACGTGTGCATTTTTCCTTCGGCGAGGACCATCGAGGCGCATCCTTGATCATTTGGCGAAAAAGCCACGCACGAAACCGGGAAAAGCACAGGGAATGGACGTCCGAGCGATGGCCAGCATCTAGGAGCATCCTCGGTGGACGCACCCCCCCCGTTTCGGTGCTGGTGCCCACCTCCGAGCCTCCAGGCAGCTTCCTCGCCGCCCTCGACTCCGCGGCGCGGCGCGGGGCCCTGCCGGGCGCGCGCGGGGTGCCGCACGGCCGCGGCGGAGGCCGCCGCGAGGCGCGCGGCCGGGACGGGCCACAACGCGGCGGAGGAGTGTGGCGGCGTGCTCCCCGGGGCCTCGGCGAGGCCAGCGACGTGCGCTGCGTGAGGGGGCGCGGGGCGTCGAGAGCATTCCGAGGCTTGGCATCGCTCGGACGTGTGCATTAGTTTCCTTCGGCGAGGACCATCGAGGCGCATCCTTGACCACTTGGCGAAGAAGCCACGCACGAAACCGAGAAAAGCACAGGGAATGGACGTCCGAGCGATGGCCAGGAGGGGGCTGCCCGGCGGGGCCGCGCGCGCCGGCGGCCCGCGGCGGCGCGGCCTAGCTCCTCCCCTCGCTGCCGGCGCCCGGCACGGGCGCCGCAGCCGCAGGGGAGCCCCCGTCCGGAAGGAGGCCCGGTGGGGTCGGTGTCTCCCCGCTGCGGCGGGGGGCGGCGGGAGGTCGGCGCAAGGAGGGCGTCGGAAAGCGTCGCGAGAGGAGGAGGAGGAGGAGGAGGAGGAGGAGGAGGAGGAGGAGGAGGAGGAGGAGGAGGAGGAGGAGGAGGTCGGCGCAAGGAGAGCAGGGGCGGCGCTGCGCTGGCGAAGAGCGTCGGGAAGCCAGCGGAAGAGGGCAAGAAGAGAAGGTGCGCCCCCGAAAAGAGAGACGGCAAGGATTTGGGGCTTCGTGGCTTCCGGAGGGGGGCCACGTGCTGACCCTGTCTACCCCTGCGGGTGCAAGCGACACTGCGGCACCCGACACCCCCCCCACGGGGGAACAGTTCTCCCACGGGCACCCTTCCGAGTTCGAGCCCTCGCTGAGGCAAGCGAAGCACGCATGCTTCAGAGAGCGGATCCGAAGGGGGTGAGACTCGCACATGATGAGTGTCTGAAGGTCGAAGCTTCTGGGCGCACGGCGCTCAGTTTTCAAGAGTCGGCGCAGCATCAAAGAGCACCCCTTGGACTGTGATTGGGTTCTGTTCTTGGCGATCCCCGCCCCAGAGCGTGTGGCGGGATGCCCGAGGAGCAGCGGGCCCCTGGGGCCTGGCGGCCGCGGCATGCCGTCGGCACCGCGTCGAAGACGTGCGGTGGTGTACCCTGAGGGGCGCGGGGACCCGCAGGGCCTGGCGGTCGGGATTTGCGGGATGTGCGAGGCGGGGAGGAGGAGGAGGAGGAGGAGGAGGAGGAGGAGGAGGAGGAGGAGGAGGAGGAGGAGGAGGAGGAGGAGGAGGAGGAGGGTCGGGCTGGAATTTGCGAGTGGAGCAGAGCAGCGCGGGGACCCGGAGGGGCGCGGGGACCCGTACAGTCGGGGCCCTGAAGAAGGAACCCTTTTCGTCGGGGAGGGGCTCCGCGTTCCTTAAGTGTTTCACAGCTTGCCTCAGGTTTTCCTCTGGTTTTCGACAGGAATTCGAAGGTTAACTTGTGGGAAAAAGGGGCCTCGTTCCTTATTTAGGGTTCCTTAGGTCAACGCCCCGACTGTAGGGCCTGGCGGTCGGGATTTGCAGGATGTGCGAGGCGGGTCGGGCGGGAACTCGTGAGTGGAGCAGCCAAAGCGCGGCGCGCCCCGCCTAGCCGCCAGGCCGCGGTCTCCCCTGCAGTCGCCCGTCCGCTCCGCGTGGCTTCTGCCGTGCTGCTGTCGGAGGTTGACAGACCTGCTGCCATGACGCGTCGATTAGCGAATTGGCCGTTTTCGGCTCGCGAGAGGGCGTCGCGGTCGTCATTTTTGCGGGTCCAGGTCCGTCGATTTCGGCCCTAGGTCGTTTTCACTAAGGGGAGGTTTACTAAAGGGAGGTTTGTCCACCGCCGAGCTGCTGGCTTGTGTGGCATTCTTCCGCTCTGCTCCTGTGTGCCGGCCGCGCCGAGGAGGGATGCGTTGGTCGCCCCTTCTTCCCCCAGCGCAAAAGGCGTCAGAGCCGCAATCCATCAGGGCAGGGCGTGGCAGTGGATAACTCCTGCTTCGGGCCTCACATGGCGGAGGTGGGCTCACTTCCATCCTTCTGTCCTCCGCTGGAGCATCGCCCGCTGGCGAGTGGCGCCGTGTCGGCAGCTGTTCGCCCCTCCGGCCTGCAAGTCACAGGTCAGAGCAAAAGACATGGCGATTTACTTGAGCTCGCCTCCCGCTTTAGCGCCCGGAGTGTCTCCGGACTGCAACTAACGTGCTCTCGCGAAGCAGAAGTTATCCAGGATCAAGCGGTCTTAGGGGTTTCCCAGATCAGATGTTGGGACCCGCAGGCAGGGATTTACTTGGACCAGGCCTATCCTGGATTGTCTGGTGCCCACAGGAATTCCGACGTGGTGCGAAGAAATGTACGCAAGATGCCGGGCGAGAGGGAGTGCATCCAGCATTAAGTCGGGCCTGTCCTTCCACAGTAGGAATATTCAAAAATAGTAGAAAATAGTCTGGGGACGATATTTAGATTATTGCTTGACATGTTTGAACATGTCTTGACTATTTTTCCATTTTTCCTCCCACATCCGACTGTCGGGGGACATGCCAGACCTAACACCATGAAGCCTCTACAGATCAACCCTGGGTCAAATTCTTGGTCGACATCGGCCTGCGGTGGGGCCCGGGCTGCCATATCAGCCAAGCTATTGGTCCCGAGCGGATGCGTGGAGGCTTTGCGCTCGTAGACTCCTCCTCCTCCTCCTCCTCCTCCTCCTCCTGCACCTCCTCCTCTTCCTCTTCCTCCTCCTCCTCCTCCTCCTCCTCTCCTCCATCCTCCTCCTCCCCTCCTCCTCCTCCCCTCCTCCTCCTCCACCTCCTCTTCCTCCTGAACCTCTTCTCCTCCTTCTCCTTCCTCCTCCTTCGCCTCCTCCTCCTCCTCCTCCTCCTCCTCCTCCTCCTCCTCCTCTTCCTCCGCCTCCTCCTCCTCCGCCTCCATCCTCCTCCGCCTCCTCCTCCTCCTCCTCCTCCCCTCCGAGGCCGAGAGGGCACTGCACCGTCTCGCCCCGACTCCCAGCCCCACGAGGGGGGCCTGATCTGCCCTGGTAATCATGTCGGGCCTGTCCCTCTACAGGAGGAATATTCCAGAATTGTCAAAAAATAGTCAGGGGACGTTTTTTCGGTTATTTTTGGAGTATTCGTTTGAATCTGTTTTGGCGTATGTTTTAATTGTCGTCCAAAGTCCGCCTGTAGGGGGACATGCCCGACCTGACTCGAGTTTTTGGCGCGGGTCTGACAAGGAATTGGTCGGTCGTCAGAGGAGGAGCGGGAGGAGGAGAACGCTGCCAACTTCTAGATGCTTCTCCGAACCACGCGGCCGTCCTGCTCGCGGTCCAGACCACGGCGAGGTTCTCCGATCCCGAGAGATTGGAAAAACCAAGCCCAAGAAGGCATGGCGGCCTTAAATGGTCTTCAGCAGCAACCGGACGTCAAGGAGAGTGTTTTTTTTGAAACCAGTTGAACCCGCAACGGCCGTCACCGGGGGTCGCGTCGCCCCCACGGGGGGTCGCGTCCCCCCCCCCCGTAACAGTAACGTACGTGCGCGTAGGCGTTGCTGGGTCCGTGCTGTGGTGCTGATGGTGTGGGGAAGTCGGCGTTGCGTATCACCGCCAGTCCATTCAGAAACGATGCCCCGGGAGGTTGTTTGGATCAGGGGCTGGACGAGCTCATAGTGCAAACTAGATGGCCTGGTTTTCCCTGGCCCTGCCCGAGCCCAGGGCCATCGTCGGTTTTCGGGGCCATGGCTACGTTCCCCGATCCTTATCCTCGACTTCTCGCCCGGGCAATGATTGTCCCGGGTATCTCCTTTCTGTTTGCGCGTGTCTGTGCAAAGGGGGCATGATGTGTCCGGCCAGGCCGGCGCCTACAGCAAGCAGCAGCAGAATCATGGCAACACCATGGGAGCCTCGCGGCTGGTCTCCGTTCCCTGTCCTTTCTGGGGGAAATTACGTTCACAGTGAAGCACAAGCACCCCCAACCGCCGCCTCGGTAGAGTCCGTGCTGTGTGCCGTGCCACTCGATCCACCTGTGAGTCGCGACGTGCCGTGGCGTGCGGGGCTCCCATGGTGCCACCACTGGTGGTGGGACCGGGCGCTCCGTGCCCCCTGTGGTTCCCTAATTGAGGGCGGCAGGGGGAGCATGCGGTCGACAGAAGGGCCGCAAGCCACCTCCGAGACGATTTGCTGGCGCCTGCCGCGCGCAGCCTGCAGCCACGATGGGTCCAGCGCGCCACGCGTGGCGCGCGCCTCTGCGTGTGGCGCCAGCGCAGGAGAGCGTGTGGTGGGCCGAGCTCTCGCCGACGAAGGCCCTGCTTTGACGTCTAGAATTAGGATGTTCCAGCCTGCTTTCTAGCCCAGAGGACCAGACATGATTACGAGCACCAAGAACCTGCCGCAACGGGAGGGTTTCACGTGTCGGGCCCTGGGAGGCGGTGCTCGTTCGACGCTCCTTCGAGACTCTTCTGGGTGCTCGAACGTATTTCTGGGATGTGGCCCTTGAGTGCGATGGGAGCAACAGAAGTCTAGAAGCCAGAGAGAGAGCCGTGAAAAGCAAAACTATAGAGGGCCGGCGGACGATTTTCGGACGACGCCTGCCGCGAGGGGGCCGCCCCTGGAAAGCTACATATACGGTAGGTTCGCGTCGCGTCGACCGGCGGCGACCCCGCCCGCGGCGTTCCACTTTGAACGCCGCGGGCGACCCAGAATCGTTCGATGCTGAACATTTGGACGTTGCGGAGACGGCCGATCGTTCGAGGTTGAGCGATCCCCGCGGTGTCAGAAGCCAACGCCGAAGTCGGCACGACACGAACCTGCCGTATACCCACTACCAGACAAATAGCAGTGTACTCGAACACAGTCGGGGCCCTGAGGAAGGAAGCCTTTCCGCTGGGGAGGGGCTCCGCGTTTTTTAAGTGTTTCGCAGCTTGCCTCAGGCTTCCCTTATGTTTTCGGTCGGAAATCGAAGTTGAACTGTTGGAAAAATAGGGGCCTCGTTCCTTATTTAGGGTTCCTTAGGTCAACGCCCCGACTGTACTCCACTCCGCAGCCAGTCTGGCCCAGGGCAAACTTCAAGCACCTGAGCGGGGCTCTCAGATTGCGCGTGCCGGCCCAGGCCCTCCCCGGCAGCGCAGGACTCGGCTACACGTAAGAGGGGCCCTTCGCCGGAGCGACCTTTGGTGCGGGCCCTTTGGGGTCCCCCGGCCGCCGAGCGCGACTGCGATGGTAACGTCTTGCGCGCTCGTGGTTGGCCCCCCCGCGGCCCCTCAAAAGCCGCGCACCAAAGGTCACTCTTGCCCAGGGTCACTCTTGCGTGCAGCCGAAGGAGGCGGACCACGCGCGCAGTGCTCACTGCGGCGTAGGGGTCTGGAGAGCCGCCGGAAGCCGGGCGTTCACTATAAAAGCTTGG